ATCAACAAAAGGATTGCATCATCTAACAACTGAGAAATGCACTCCCTTACTGTTTGCAGCTTGCCTAACAAGCTGAGCCAGGAGTAAAATTACGTTAYGTGGCACTGAACTTATGTAGCGTCGGTTTTGCCAGTGCAAAGGTAAGAGAATAAGTGTTTTACTGCATTTTAAGTTAAAGCTGGCATTGGTAGTGATGTCAAGCCATGTTAACCTGGAGCATAATCCAAAAGCCAATGGAAAAATCCCAAGGGCGACACTAACATTCGCGAAGCCTATAAAAATATGTTATTCACTCTGTGGATGTGCAGTTGTAAAATATTATTTCTTGTTCACAGGATAATTCAGTAGAAAGAAGGAGAGAGGTCACTCTCGGTTATCTGGTGGTGTTTCTCAGAGAAAAGGAGGAGGACCTCTTCAAAGAGCACTTGGTAAGAAACACTAATGTTCAAACAGTCCACCGTACTTTGTGTTGCTCTTGTTTTTAAATATGATGACTTAAAACACTAAAATATTTTCCGTCCTACTTAWTACAGGATAGTGAAGTGCAGGCTACAGATGAGGTGATGAAGATTGTCATCAGCAGAGGTGCCATAATGTCTGACACAGCTCGTGCAAAGATAGTGATCAAGGGGACACAAGTCCTGAAAGACCTGAATGTACCAAGAGCCTGTGCTTTGCTAATGGGCTGATATATGCGCTCCACCTCAGCTAATCAAAAGAACTGATGAAAACATTTGAGGTATTTCAAAAGATATTCCTTGGACTAGATGGTCTGAAGGCGAGCCCGGAGGTAATGTCATAGACTGCTGTCCTAAAAAACWAATCACAAGGAAATRTTGCACTGTGGTGTTGTTTAAAACACAGCAGCTGTACTAACTCACACTAAGTTGCAAGTTTATTGTAAAGATTGTTATTTTGAATTGTGTTACCTTGGACAGAGGTTTTTTCTACTTTTTGACTATGATAAGAGCAGGATTAAGTTCAGGATGTAATCCATGATATTTGTTTTGTTTTGTTTGAGGGCAATTTCATGGTGACAGCATACAAATATTGGACTCTGTGTTCAGTTGAGGCACTCAAACGCACTGTTTGATTTTCCTGCCGTCATTTTGACACATCATAGAAGGGTAAACTCAGGGATAATATTATAATGGTACTATTTTATTTAGTGAGTCAAAGCCACTCCAGTGAGCATGTGTAATACCAGGTCCATGGCCCATCTAAACAGAACAGAGCCATAATTTACATTATAAATCACACCATCACACTTGTGTTTATCCTTCAGTGACTTCTGAAAATGGCTGCTAAAGGGCCTTTTATGAAGACTATCTCATTTGGGGATGAGGAACCAGCTAAGCACCATCATTTATTATTTTTTTCCAAGTATTGTAGGAAGTGGCTGGGCATGTATATTTT